ATATACTGCAGTTCCATAGAGCTGCCCCAACGAAATGGCAAACTGAAGTATGTAGCTATATGACTTGCCTTTAGCTATTGCATATCTGTCAAATCATCATAAAGATCATATTTAGCACTGCAAAGGACAAGAGGACTGCACATACGGTCTGGACTCTGGTGAACCAGAGATTGGAATTTGAAAATCAAAACTTTACATTATGAATGAAAGCATAAACTTCATGATAACAAAATTCAAAGCCTTACACTGCAAGAAGGCAAGCTGGACCTTCTAAAACTGCAGTTAGTCCTTCAACAGCAACAACGCCTGCATCCCGAGCTGCATATCTTGAATCACCTTTGCTGTACTCTTTCCCTGCCAATTTTCATCTATGAGTATAATAACTATATACAACCCACCCAATTTGCAACAAATGCTAATTGTATAGAGATGGAGGGAAAATGAGAAACAGAACTTACAAACTTCAGAAAGGTAACAAGCAGTCTTATCCTTGTAAAACTCGGGCGAGAAGGCAAAATAGCCTTCAAGTATAATGTGGGTGAGGCCCGTGAAGGCCCACCAACACATTAGCCATCTATCAATTTTTGATTTTTTTGGAGGCCGCCCTGTTATATACATAGCAGGAAGTACAAAATAAAACATTAGATTGATTTGAACAAAAACAAAACATCTGTAGCTACAGAGCATTAGATTGTCAATAACAAATAAGAGTGGGTTTGTTTGGCAGGCAAGGGATTTAAAAAATGAACCCATGAATCCAAAATGTGATTAGCAATGATATTGGGTCTTTCTAATGAGAGAATTGTCAAGTTTTAACAATCAGCAATTACCACATTCAAAAACCAAGATGATGAATTCGCAGGCAGACACAAAAGTTGTATAAAGTTAGAAACTTTTTGGATCTCAGACTCTCTAGAGTCTCATCTGATGCTCTGCCTATGAGTCTATCTATGACCCACTTCAAGCATCAATTGCTACAGTGAACTAAGAAATTCACAGAAGTAACTTGAAAAAATTGGATCTGATAAGAAAAGAAGTGAAGAGAGTACCGGAGAAGAGCCAGGTAAGCAAAACGACGAGGAGGGAAGAGAGGCCATAGACCCCAACAATGGTGGACTGTGAGAGAAACCCAGGTACGAATCCGGATAGCTTTAGATCCCTGGGTACGTATGGATGATTCTCATAAATCCCAGAGCCAGAGCCCTCCATTTTCGCTCGCTCGCTCGCTCGCTCGTACACTCTGAAACAAATCAATTCAAAAAGTCCAAAAAAGGGCTATGGCTGCCA